AATATCTATGAAAGGACAACCAAGATCCACAGTTACTAAAATGGCTCGTTACTATTGTTACACATGACCAAAGGACGGGAAACTTTCCTGCATGTGACTTTAAATCACTTGAAGAGCAAGAAAAAATTCACTACTATGCCAATAAAGTATGCATTAGCGGGTAGCCCATGTAGATGAAGAAGCAGTGGACACCTATACTACACTCTTACACCTGGTGGGATATGCCACAGGTACCTGCCTTTTAGAAGGTCATTATAGTAATTTACTAACTAAAAATAATAAATCAACCTTATATTGAGTTTAGCACCAGAATGAAGAGAATTACGATGTTGCTGCTCAGTCATTTTTTTAGTCATGCCCAACTTTTTGTGACCCCATTTAAGGTCTTCTTGGCAGAGATACTGGAGTGGCTTGCCATTTCCTTCTCCATCTCATTTTACCAGTGAGGAAATTGAGGCAAATAAGGTTAAGTGACTTGCTCAGGGGCACAGAATTAGTAAATGTCTGAGGCTGGATTTGAACTCAGGAAGATGAGTCTTCCTGACTCCAGGTCTGACGCTCTATTCACTGCCCAGCTGCCCCGAAAGAGAACAATCTAATGTATTTTCCCACACCGCAAACTGAACTATTGGACATGAATGGACATAAATAAACTGAGCATTTCCCAAAGAACAGTTATCCGCTTCCTTCCATCATCATTTCACATCCTCACCGTTTTCTGCCTATGCAAACATTCGATGAAATCCTCATATTCCAAGCTGCATTCCTTCTTGGCTCGGGTCATACCAATTCCATGGGCACACTCAATGAATTCCTTCTCAAAAGCATGGCATCGGGCTGGCATTTTGTAAGGTTGTTCAGCACTCATAACTGTCATCCATTTGTCAATACTGATACCCAGCCGGTTCTGAATATCAAACAATGGCATGGCTGCAGTAAAAGTTAACAAGAAAAGCAATATTAAGCCACAAAAACGAAGCAAAATAATAAACTCTTCAGAAAATATGCTAGTTAACTATGGCAGATGGCCTTTGGGACAAAGATTTTTTACTACTCCTAACTAAATTTCAATGTTAAAATCCTACCTTCAATTCAAGCCCAAAGAGTCTACTTCTTCCACAAAGAAGTCCCTGCTCCTTCAACATGAACTGATTTCTTGCGTGGTTCTTCTTTTTGCATTTATTGATGTGTATTACAGTTACTTGTGCTGGGTTTGTTCCCCTGATTCTACATAAACTTCTTGATGGCAAATACCATGCCCACCTCATCTTTGTATCTCACCCAATACCTCGCAGAGTCTGATCTGTACATAATAGGTGCTAAGCTTTTGTGGAATTTTAAATGCAAAACTCGCTCACAGACATAAGAACCAAATAAGAGAGAACATATCTCATCAGAAAAGTATTCTGCTAGATAAGTTATTTTCTCAGAGAAAAATCTAAAAAGATCATCTTTCTATTGGCTCAACACATTGCTTCCTTAAATAAAAGCTCCCTGCTAGAAAAAGAAGAGAGAAAAGAATGTTGGACTTGTAAGGCGAAAGCCAGAGCCCAGCTCTGACACATAATGTGATTAGGTAAGTCACTTATTTAACCCAAGTCTTGCTTTCCTCACCTCTAAAATGGGGAGCACTCACTTCATAGGGCTGTGGTGAGGATCAAAGGAGATAATATACGTGAAGCATTTTGTAAACCTTCAAGTACTAGATAAATGTTAGCAATTATTAAAATCTGCTGTGCAATCAATTTGAGGTATTAATTCAATTCATAAATATTTGAGTACTTACTGCATGCAGAAGGAATGCGAAAGATAAAATTGAGTTTGGTTTGTTGCACCTCTGTACCTTTCTTTAATGCAATATCACAGTGTTAGGTAGTTAAAGGGAAACGGTTCAGTGTTCTGGGAAAAAGGACTAGCTTTAGAATCAGAAGAAATAGATTCAAATCTCACTCTGCTAATTTACCTATGTGACCTCAGGCAAGGTATTTCACTCCAGAACTTCAGTTTCCTCATTATAATAATAGCTTGCATCGATACAGGCTTTAAGGTTTGCAAAAATGCTTTACATATATCAGCTCCTCTAAAGTTCAAGATCCCTCCCCATTCCAGGTAAAAGATGCATTTTAAAGATGAAGCAACAGCCTCAGAGAGATTAGGTGACTTGGCTAGAATCACATAGCTTCTAAGTGTCTGTGGTAAGATTCAAACCCAGGTTTTCCTGACTCCAAGTGCAAGGAATGCATGCGTGCGCGCACACACACACACACACACACACACACACACACACACACACACACATGCTTCACTATACTCTGCTGACTCTCAATAAAATGAAAAGGTTGAACTAATTATATCTAAGATCCCTTCCTGCTTTAAATTCATGATCCTAAATATTAAGGCTGTTTTTGTCTTCCTTTATATCCTCAGCATTTAGCAAATGCCTGGCACATAGTAAGAGCTAAATAAATGCTTGTTGATTCACTGACTGAGCTCACAGGACTTGCAATATAGAAAGATGGCATTTGAACTGTTCTAGCAAGATTCTCATGCAATTCACAGGAAAGTTGAGATTATAAGGTTTAGGAAATGCAAGGTCCTTGTTGCCTTTACAGACCTGAGAGTCTAGTAGAGACAAACAACCATAAATGCAAAATAATGCATAAGTATGTAACTTTCTATAATACTTTAAGCATGTACAAAATGCTGTCCATACAACAATCTTCTGAAGTAAATGGTTACAATCCCCATTTTACAGATAGGCAAAGTGAGGCTCAAAAAACACTACTGAGAACATGATCACAAATCAGATACCTTCACTTATTTAACAAACATATATTAAAGATCTATGTAAAAGTGAAAGATGGGGCAGCTAGGTGGCACAGTGGATTAGAGCACTGGCCCTGAAGTCAGGAGGACCTGAGTTCAAATCTGGACTCAGACCAAACACTTGACACTTAATAGCTGTGTGACCCTGGGTAAGTCACTTAACCCCAATTGCCTAAAAATAAATAAATAAAAAAGTGAAAGACACTGCTTAGTACAGTGAAAACAAAGATGAAAAAATCACACAGCTCCTACCTTAAAATCTAAAAGAGGGGGGAATAAAACATGTACACAAATGAATATTACAAGGCAGAATGTGTCAGTAGCAAAAAGAGATTCTGCTAAAGTGGCCAAGAAAATTTTATGAAGAAATCATTGGGGAATCAGGAAAGGTTTGGTGAGAGAGATGACAATTAGCTGGGCCTTGTGGGAAAGAGGATTTCAATAAGTCGACACGAGGGAGTGTTTTCAGGAGCACCTAGGTAGCGTAATGGCTAGAGAACCAGACCTGGATTCAAATCTGGCCTCAGAAACCTACTAGCTATGTTACCCTGGGCACATCACTTCACCCTGTTTGCTTCAGTTTCCACATCTGTAAAATGAGCTGGAGAAGGAAATGGCAAACCACTTCAGTATATTTGCCTAGAAGATTAAGTGGGAGGGAGTGTTTTCTGGTACATCCCAGGCAGTACAGATGGGCTGCACAAATGCATGGCAGGACATGAAGAATTTGGATAAATATGGGAAGATCTGAATGAACTAATGCATGGCGAAAGGAAACAGAACCAAGAAAATAATATACACGACTACAGCAATAAATAAAAAGATCACTAAAAAGAAGTGCCTCAGATACTTTTTAAGTGTGTAAGCGGGGCGAGTTATTTAACCTTTTTATGCCTCAGTTTTCTCATCTGTTAAAATAAGGTTGGCCACAATGCCTCTAAAGTGCCTTGCAGCCCTATAAACAATAGAAGTCCTGGATTGGATAATGAAGCATAATGACCCTATCACAACAGGGAGTGGGGGATGTGTGTATGTGTGTGTATTTCTCTAAGGAAAAATATTGTATACACTGTTCGGGGGAGTCATCATATGTTACTTCTCATTTGTCTTTACAAGAGAGGGTTAAATCTGGGGGGGAGGGGAAACAATTGAGATGGCTATGATATGGACACCAAAAGCATCGGATAAAACATTTTTCTTTTAATGCAGGAAGGGGCAAGATAAGAGGAGTCAGGTTTGGGCTGTTTCACCAGGCTAGACTCTGATCAGGCTTTTCCAGAGCATGGACTGCCTCAAAGATACGATTTTTAGTCACAAAGGATGACTGGCCAACTTGAATGATTTCCCCTCTCTGGGCCTCAGTTTCCTCTCTGTAAAATAAGGGAGATTGGATGATAATCCCTTCCGGCTCCAATGATCCAGAACTCGTCCAAGGTCACATCAGGTTAGAAGGAGAGCAGGGACCATACCCCAGGTCTACCCCTTATAGTTGGTACATCAGCGCAGTGCAGATAAAAGGCTGGGTGGTGCAGGGGGCAGATCGCTGGGTCTGGAGTTCAAATACGACTTGTGTGACACCGAGCATGTCATTTAGCCGCTGCCGGCCTCAGTTCCCCACTCTGTAAAATGGGAACATTGACAGCCTCCCTTGGGTGGTAAAGATGATAACTGTTAAGCTAAGCTTATTAGCTTTTGGACCTCCGCTTCCTGGGAGCGGCGTCTGCAGGTCGGGGGCCACAGAGGTCACCTCGCCCAACCCCCCCCTCCCCCCAGAACAGGAAGAGGCTCTGAAAAGTCGGGTGACCGACCCGGGGTCACCCCGAAGGTGTGGATCCCGCCCTCTCCCTTCAGGTGGGGCCCAGGCCAGGCAAGAAGGGACCCCTGGCATGGGCGTGTGGGGGTGGGCCCATCTTCCCACCCTCCCGCCACCCCGGGCGGACACCCGCGGGTCACCTGCGGCCTACTCCAAATGCCGGTCCCTTTCCTTCACCACAAGTCTCTGCCGTCCTACAGCTTTTTCGCGACCCTGCCGGCCGTAAAGCGTCGTCGTAGCCGCACGACACCCAGAGCCCGCCCCTCCGCGCAGGTTCGGATCAAGCTCAGGGGTGGGGGTGTGGAGGGTGGAGGGGAGCGCGACTTGGGGTATGGGGGGGGGTGAAGCACAGCCGTCGTACTGCGCATGCGCCCGGGGAAGATGGCCTGGGTAGAGAGGAGAGACGGGGGTGGGGCAAGGTGAGGAGGAGGGAGGGGTGGTGGCGAGAACCGGCCGGGATAGGAGGAAACCTTGTGGGCCACTCCACGGGGGAAGTGGAAGGGTGGGTAGGCATCATTCTGTAACCAGATGGGGGTGGGATCCGATTTCTGTCTGTTCATAGAATTTACATCTTGCCAGAAAGAATTTTAGAGAGATGTTGTCCAGCCGTCTCATTTTACAGATGAGAAAACTGGGTCCTTATGGAGAATCGATTGGGCACCTAGGTGGAGCAGCGGATAGGCAGGAACGAACCCAGGTTTCTTGCCTCCAAATCCTATTTCCCTTCTGTTGGAGCAAGGATAGGAGCGATGGAAAAGGGATGGCTGGCTTGAGGCCCAAAAGGAAACTCGGAGGGTTTACTTACTGTTAATCATTTTATTATATATTGAATGACAATCAACAAAAACAATAAACACACACAGTATAATAATAACTAATATGTAGCTACATATAGCACTTTTTCGTTTTGCAAAGTGCTTTATATGTTACCTCTTTTGGTGCAAATAAATCTTATATAAAATGAAATCCTCCATATTTAACAAAGCAGATCCTCAGAATTACCAATTGAGTAGAGGTTTTTATTCTGAGTCCTTGCCTAAAATTCTATCATCTCTGGCAGTTTTCTACTAAAAAAAAAATGGTTGTCACTGTGTTTATAGTTCCCATTCTGCTAATCTTGCCCTTGTATCCCTTCATGTAGACCTTTCCATATTTTTGTATGCTTCATTTTATTGTTTTTATAGCACTGTGCTGTTCCATTACATCCATATACCTTAATTCAACGAGCCATCCTCCAGTTGTTAAACTATATCAGATTGTCTCCAGTTTTTATTTTTATTTTTTTTCTAGTGTAACCCCAGTTCCAAAGACCGTTGGTATGGGACTCTCTCCTTCTTGGTGGAGATCAGTGTTCCTGTGTGAAGGGAAGAACAGAATTTCCAAGAAAGCAGAAAGGAGTCTTCTCAACTCTTTAAGCCCCGACTCCCTTCTGGAGCTTCTGGCTTCCATCTTTTTGAGGTAAGATGGAAGAAGCCAACCCCATTTTAGTTTGTTGAAGTAAAAGACTTTGGGAGCTGTAAGTCTCTATCATGTCTCTATTCTCAGCTTTCTAAAATACAGACTTTCAGAGAACTTCCCCTTGGGTGAGATTTATGACTCTCTTTTGGTTGAATTGTTACCTCAATTCCAATGGGAGCTCCTTCCCTCTGAGTTGTCTGGTATATATTTTCCTAACACGTGTATGGGGTATTCAGGAGGACCTCTTAGCACTTTTTAGGGCTGCTAATCCACCTCTGGTGTCCACCTGATTCCATCCAACTCTCACCTGTGGTTCCAAGAAGTTGTAGTGCCTACAGTGACCACCCTCCAGTAAACTGTCTGGGCAGATGGGCTAAACCAGATTCAGGGTTAATTGACAAGGCTCAGACATGTTGGTGAGTAAGGGGGATGTCTACCCCAAGCATGTGAAGACTTCCCCTGGCGAAATGGGCAGATGAGATCAGTTTGTTCCAACAGCCATGAAGGCGGCTGAAGCAGGTGCTGTAGAGTGCTTAGAGCTTGGTCAGGCTTTGAAGATGGCAAGGTCACCCACTGCATCCTGGGCCATCACCAGTCATTTGGACTTCTGTCCTGCCATTGGACTTTGATGACTTTGAGTGAGAGAGTGAGGCTGACCACTCTGTGAAACTCTGCCTCACTTAAATCCAGTTCATGGGCAAGTCAATACATCACCTTGTGATGTCATTGGTCCTTTTTGAAAATAAAGGACAGGGGCAGCTAGGTGGCGAAGTGGATGGAGCACTGGCCCTGAAGTCAGGAGGACCTGAGTTCAAATCTGGCCTCAGACCAATTTACTAGCTGTGTGACTCTGGGCAAGTCACTTAACCCCAACTGCCTAAAAAAAAAAGGGGCAAACAACATATTTTCCTATGTATACTTTGATTTCTATTTGTTCCTGATTTGAATAAATGGGTTTTCTTGGCTAAGTGTTATGTGTGTTCATGTGGAATTGGAAAGGGGTCACATCTTAGATATAATAAAGCTTGGGGTCTTGCTTCCCCCAAATAATAAACAATGATCAGAAGTTAGCTTGAGCCTGAAAACCTTGACCCCCTAGACAAAAGTATATAAGGAAGCAGACAGATATAATTCTAACCCTGTATCCCCTCTTTGAGGAAAACAGTGACCTCTGGCCCCAACCTCCTGCCTCCCCTTTTGGCAGAAATTTGTGTTTTTTTTGTTTGTTTTTGCCAGGCAATGGGGTGAAGTGACTTGCCCAGGGTCACACAGCTAGGAAGTGTCAGATGCCTGAGGCAGGATTTGAACTTGGGTCCTCCTGACTCCAGGGCCTGTGCTCTCTCCACTGCACCACTCCCTTCCCCTTTTGGCAGAAATTTAAGTCTCCTTTGGAGAACCCCGCATCTCGTTCTCTCGATGCCTCTGAGTCAAATAAGGCCTTGGCATAGACCTACAACGCACTAGCAGGATGACCGCCTATTTAACTCTTGATGTTCAGCTACAGGAACAAGGCTGTTCGACGGCCTGCCTTAAAATTAAAATTAAAACCCCATTTCCACAGTACTTTACAGTGTACAAAGCTGCTTTCCTGTCTGCAAACTGAGCTCCAGTGGGGGGGGGGGGCAGAGGATACTTAGGATGGAGGTGGTAGCGGAAAGCAGCGGCCAAAATTATTAGATGTTTTCTAGTAGCAACTTTAGCTGTGGGACATCTGATGCCGATTAGGTTTCCCCCCACCCTTACCCCTACTTCACTCTCTTCTCGCCATCCTCCCTTCCCTAGCCCGCTCTCTGGCCAATGAGGCGGACCCCCTGTGGTTAATGAACTCTGAGAGCCTGCTTGAGTCTGCTGGTGGGGGAGGGGAGGGGAAGTGGGAATCAGTGGAACAATAATCCGGCCCTTCCTTCCAGCCCCAGGGAGCTAGCACGCCCATCTTTCTGGCAAAGGGAGGGAGCTGCCATTGTGACTCCCATTTTGTCTCTGGAAAGCATCACAATATAGTCGGAAGAGGGCTACATTTCAAACCAGGGACTTCTGGGGTCAAAGAACATGAGTTTAAATCCTGGACCTGCCACTTAACTGTGTGACCTCGGAAAAGTCTCCCGCCTCTCTTGACCTGTTTTTCTCAATTGTAAAAGGCGGGTGTTGGGAGTAGATGACTTCAAAAGGTCCCTTCTAACTCCAAAGCTATGATCCTATGACAGTGAATGCAGAATGCAATTACTTGTGTTATTTTTAATGTATGTTTAAAATTTGTTAGAAAACTCACAACATTTAAAACTTTTTAGTTTTTAAATGAACAAAGATCTATTATCGTGCCCTCCAAGTTACTCTAATAGAAGAAAAGAAAAACATAACTCTTTCTGTAACAAATATGTATAGTCAAGCAAAACAAATTCCCAAATGAGCAATGACCCAAAAATGTCTCATTTTGCACCTTGAGTCTGTCACCTGTCTGTCAGCAAGTGGGTGACATGCTTCATCATTGGTCCTCTGCAGCTTGTGGTTGATCAGTTTTCAATATATTCTTAATTTTATTTGAATAAAATGCAAGCTAAGAAAATTGTCTGAGTAGGATGTTTTGTCAGTAATATCATATGAAGGTAGCTAGGTGGTACAGCAGATACAGCTCTGGGCCTGGAGTCAGAAAGAACTGCTTTCAAATGCAGCCTCAGACATTTACTGTGTAACACTGGGCAAGTCACTCAGCCTCTACTGCCTGTTTCCTCAATTGTAAATTGGAGATAATCGCACCTACCTTACAGGATTGTTGTGAATCGAAAATGAGGTATCTAGAAAGTGCCAGGCACAGCAGGTACTTAATAAATGCTTATTCCATAAAAGTAGAGGCGGGCCCAGTTTATTTAAAAGGAGGGCAGGGCTACATAAATTTGAAAATCACGCCTGTGGAATAGACTGATGAAAGCATGACTATTCGCACTTTGTGGTAACGTCTACCCCCTTTCTCTTCTTTTCATTGCCCACCCCTCCCCAACCCTGGTACAGGCCTTCATGACCACAAACCTGGGCCTCAGGAATAGCTTCTTAACAGTCTCACAAGGCTAGACCTGGTCCTCACCAGATCGTCCATGGCAGCTCATGAAGAGTCTACTGCTGAAGTGTGGAATCAACAGCCCATATCCCTTTAGGAACAACCCACATGGGCCATAGAAATGGAAAAAACCCATTCCTCTTCATTTTACAGATGAGGAAACCGAGGCTCTTAGGGTTTAAACAATTTGCTTAGGGTCATTCGGCTTGGCAATATCACCACATTAACCCTAAATGATATTTCTATAGTGATTTAGAATTTGCAAATTGCCTTGTATGTGCCTTCTCATTTGCCCTAGGTTCAACCACTCTGTGAGGTAAGTAGGTATTATTAGCTCCATTTTATAGAAGAGGAAAATGAAATTCGGAGAAGGTGCAGTGATTTGCTCAAAGTCATTCTTGGTGAGTTGTGGAGGTGGATTCAAACCCAGGCTTCTTTCCATTGACAAATTCTGGATTCTATCTGTGCTATACCATGGGTAGCTGAGCAATGGATGAAATGAAGGATCTTTTGAAGCAGCAGTAGCAGAGACCATAAATGTTAAGACTGTGTAACAGCTAAAGGGATAATAATAATACATCTATAAATTACTAAGGCAATGGAAAAGGCAAGGATGCTTTTAATCCACACAGAATTATCATCAATAACAAATCATGTATTTCACCTCTGAATCCCTGGGAGATAGGGAAGGATCAGGAGTTGGACCACTGAGGCAGCCTGGAGTAGTAGAGAGTCCTACGTTAGAAGTCAAGAGACTAGGCTTCAAGTCTCAGCCTGGCCACTATGTTTCCCCACCAACCTCCCTTCACTTTGGGACTTCTCTATTACTGTTGAGGGCAACACCATCCTTTCAATCACCAAAGTTCTTAATCTAGGTGTCATCCTGGAACCCTTGCTCTGTTATTTTCAATTTATTTCCATCTGCTATAGTGGTGAGGGTGGTGAGAAAGGGAAGGATTAAGAGCCCAATCTTTTTTTTTCCTACCAGACCTATGATTTCATTGAACTCTTGGTGATAAACTTCCCCTACCAACGTGCACACAAAAGCACCTGCTCTGCAATCTGTAGTCTTAGAGTTGTCTGGGGGCACTAAGAAGTTAACTCACTTAACCAAGGTCACACAACCAATATGAATCAAAACCTAATACTCTTAAAAAAAAAATCAATCAACTGCCTACTGGATATTTTCACCTGACTATTCTGCAGTATTCTGAAAGTCAGTATGTCCAAAACTGAACTCACTTCATTTTTCTCCCAAATCCATCCCTTTTCCTAACCTCCTTGTCCCTGTCCTGTGAACCGTCATTCTTTAAGTCATATAGGTTTGCAACCTTGGAAATATCCTTCATTCCTCCTTCTCCCTAATCTTCCACATCCAATCTGTTTCCAAGTTCTGTTGGTTCTACCTATATAACCTTTCTTGCTTTACTCCTCCTCTCCACTCATTCAGCCACCACCATAATTTAGGCCATCATTGCCTCTCTTATGGACTATTGCAATAGCATTCTAATCTTCCTACATAACGTGACCCCTTATCAATCCATCTTCCACGCAGCGGTCAAAGTGGTATTTGTAAAATACTCCAGTGGCTCCCTATTACCTCTAGGACCAAATACAAATGCTTTTGTTTGGCATTGACACTGCATTTCCATCTGTCCCCAACCTACTTTTTTATACATTATATTCTTCTTGCACTTTATAGTCCAGCCGAACTGGCCTTCTGGGTATTCTTCATACAGACATTCCATCTCTCGTAGCATAGACGATCTACCATTTCTAGAATGTGCTCCTCCTTTACCTTCACCTTTTAAAACCCCTAGTTTGCTTCATTATTCAAATCTAACATTACCTCCAACATAAGGCTTTTCCTGATCCTCCCATCTACTAATGTTCCCTTCCCCCAATTACCACGTCTATTTTGTATATATTTTGTATGTTGTCTCCCCCAGTAGAATGTAAGCTCCTTAAGAGCAGGAACTGTCTTTTGTCACTGTATTCTCAATGGAATGACTGATTAAAGCAAAAAAAAAAAAAAGCTTGGATTTGAATCATACTCCCTTATTATCTGTGTGACCACAAACAAGTCAGTCTCTGTCTTCTTTTCAATAAAACGAGGATAATAAAAGGGCAGCTAAGTGGTGCAATAGATAAAGCTCTGGCCTAGGAGTCAGGAGGACCTGAGTTCAAATCCAGCCTCAGACACATTACACTTAGTAGCTATGTGACCCTGGGCAAGTCACTTAACCCCCACTGCCTCACCCCCACCCAAAAGAGGATAATAATACTTGTAATACCTACCTCACAGGGTGTTAAAAGGATCAAATGAGAAAATGTATATAATAATAATACTAATAAGTAACATATATAGCCTTTTAAAGTTGACAAATCAATTTACATACATTTTCTCATTTGAAGTATTTTATAAATCTTAAAGCAATATTTAAAAGAACCAGGGCCTTCACTGATGTGCTGTTGGGGATCCTGATAACAGGTGGGAAGACTGGCATTATTCTAAAAACCCACAGACAAAAGCTAGGGGAATAAAATGCCCAGGCTCTAACAGCACCAAGCCACTTTCTGCCCAAAGATGGTCCAACACTGCCAGTGCATGGGAAGAAGGCTCTTTGCGACTCTGGGAATAAATGCTCAGACTACCATTCTGTCCCTTCCCACTGATTACTGCTAGAGAGAGAGAGAGAGAGAGTGTGTGTGTGTGTGTGTGTGTGTGTGTGTGTGTACACCCCACTGGACTGTACTCCTCAGTCCATTCTCACCCCTGAAACTTCTCCTGAAAGGCTAATAAACTGTTGTGGTGATCAGCTAAAAAACAAAAAACATCTATCTTGAGAACTTTTTCAATTAGTAAGCATTTATTTTCTCTCCCTCCCACTTCTCCCTCACCTTTGGAAAACAAACAAACAAATAAAAATCTTGCCTGGGTTGTGCTGAAACCCCTTCAGACCTATTTGCCACAATTGTTAAATCATCAGTGTGAGCATTGGAAACTGGCAAACCCTACAGGTCTGGGCATGATTTATTGTTTTGTTGATTAGAATAGTATCTAGACTAAGATAATAAAGAAAATCTCAATAATTAGGGAAAAATTTAAAAGTGTGTTCTGCTTTCACTTTTTTTCCAGATAACAGATTGATGCCGTAATTTGTTCAACCATTCCCCAATTGATAGTCACCCCCCCCACCCCCACTGCTGTTCCAGTTCTTTGCCACCATAAAAAGAATTACTATCAATATTTTGTACATATGATTTTTCTCTTTCTTTGATCTCTTTAGGGTATGGGCCTAGTACTACTGTTGCTGGATCATGGGTGTGCACAGTTTAGTGATTTGGGGGACAAAGTTTCAAAATGCTTTCTGGGAGTGCCCAGGCTTCCAGGCTGAGGTAGGCTTTAAGAAATAATATTATGCCAGAAGGCCCTTAATGGGTTGAAAAGGGGAAGGAGGCATTTCAGGTCAGGAACCTTAAAAAAAAAAAGACTTAGAAGTTGTGTAAATGGGATCAGATGAAAAGAGATGTTTAAATCAGCTGGTAATGGCTTTGAAGGGGGTGGCATGATTATAACTCTCAAGTTAATCCTTAAAAGTTTACAAAATGCTTTCCTCACAAGAAGCCTGTGAAGCAGGTAAGACAAGTATTATCATCCTTATTTTATAGATGTAGAAAATGAGGCACAGGAAGGAGAAATGGTTAGCTCTTGATCAAAGAACTAGTTAAGTCTCAGAGGTAGAATCTGAGCCAGGGTCTCCTGGAGTTCTTGGATGGTGTGGGGGAAGAGGAGGGTCCAAGAAAAGCCTGAAGTAGCCTGGGAGTTTGGAAGGCTTAGGGGAGTCAGACTTCTATTGAGCTGTAGGGATGACAGGCAGCTTGCTGGTGGTTTTTTTTTTGGTGAGGCAATTGGGGGTTAAGTTACTTGCCCAGAGTCACAGAGTTAGTATTATGTATCTGAGGCTGGATTTGAACTCAGGTCTTCCTGACTCCAGGGCTGGTGCTCTATCCACTGCACCACCTACCTGCCCTGCAGCTGGGTATAGTAGAAAGAACACTGGGTTTTGGGTCAGAAGATCTGGGTTAGAACCCTAACTTTGCTGCATGACCTTGGGCAAGTTATTTCACTTTGTCCTCAGTTTCCTGGTAGGTAAAGTGAAGGGAACTGGCTGGATAACCCTAGAGTTCTTTCAGTTCTAACTCTAGTGAATTGAAGTGGATGGGCAGGTAGTTAGATATGGCGATAAGCAACTAGGAGGCACAGAGTCAAGACTTGAACTCAAATCCCCAGTCACATGCTGGTTGCATGACCCCAAGGCAAATCACTTATGTCTCAGTTCCCTACAAAGAGCACCTGTCTCCCAGGGCTGTGGTAAGGGTCAAATGAGAGAAGAGATTTGTAAAGCCCTCAGAAATACGAGCTGACTATAACTTTGGGTATCACTATTTGAGGCTCTGGTGGCCCTAGGCAAACGACAACCAGGCCTGGATAGAGGCATCAAAAAATGCTGGGAAAGTGGCCACATGGTGGCGCTGCCCAGGAGGATATCTGAGGAGCCAGGAGGCCAGATAACTCCCAATTTCCCATTTTACATGGGAGCTCCTGATACTTTGGCCCATACACTGAGGACTATGGGAGATGCGTTGAGGGCCGAGGTCGGCAAATGGACAAGATCTGCTGGCACTCAAGGGAACAGTTAGGATTAGGACTGCTGCATTTCATGTGGAGCTTACTGAGTTAATATGAAATGAACTGGGAAACAAGGATAGAGCTCTGAGGGAAAGTCACAGATTATAGGGCTGAAAGGGGCAAAGAACCTTGGAGATCATCTAATTTAGGGGTTCTTGACCTTTTTTTTGAGTCGTGGGCCCCCTTCCCTTTAGGAGTCTGATGAAGCCTATGCAATCCCTTCTCAGAATGTTTTTAAATACATAAAATATGGAGGATTACAAAGGAAATTAATTATATTGAAATAGTTACCAATTTTTTTTAAATCCACAGACCCCAGCTTAAGAATCCTAATTCAATCCCTATAGTTTGCACATGAAGAAACTGAGGCTCAAAGAGTTGTAGAGACCTCCCAAGTTCACACAGGTGGCAAGTGGATTTGACTGCAATCCTACTTAGAATGTAGAGCTATTCCCACTACACCAAGCTGCCTGTGATACTAAGCAATACCTTCTGACTTCTCCCTAACTATGCAATCTCAATGGCCGCTTCCTCCATGAAGTCTTCTCTGATTACCCCCCACCAAACACACACACAGACACACACACGGCAATCTACCTCACATCCTCTGTAATACTTTATTGCCCCTCCCTAATGCATTTGTAAAAAATACTCTATTATAATTAGCTGGGTGTCTTATTCTCCTAGAATGTAAACTCCATGAGGACAGAGACTGTCTAATCTCAATTTATATTTGCCCTTGCCCCTGGAACTGGCTCTGCATATAATGGGTGTTTAATAAATGCTGAAAGGATGAATCAGTCAGATCCAATGATCAAAGTCCCATCACGTCTTCCTTCCCACAGTTTCTCTTTGCTCCCTCTTCTTCCTCTTCTTTCCCACTGCTTCTTGCTCTAGTTCAGACCCTTACTCTCACCTGATTTCTCCAAATCACTCTTTCCCCATCCTGATCAATTATAACACCTGTGGCTCAAAATTAATCTTTTATTGCTTTCTAATAATAGCCAAATATTTTAGCCCAACATTCAAGGCTCCTAGAGTCTGGTCCCAAACTACTTTTCCAGGCTTCTTCAACAGAACTGATATATTCCAACTTGCTCTTCCCCACACAGATTATCCTGCTCCCTCTATGCCCACCACCTATAATGTTTTTCCTTCCTCCTGTCTGTCCTTTTAAGAACACCACTGTGTGGAACCTGCCCCAAGTCTTTCTAGCTAAGTCATCTTTCCCACTTATGTAATCTCATGCTGTCACGTGGTAGGTATTTCTGTGCATGCCATCACTCCCTATTAGACTGAGGGCAGGGACCATGTCCAAGATATTTGTGTATGCCCCAGCTCCCATTATAAGGACTACATTACAAGCTCCCTCCCCTCTAGCTGGTTCTACTTTCCCCCTGCCAAATGCTGATCCAAACAGCTATCCATCCCCCCTCCATTCATCTGCCCAGCCCACCTCTCAGGGCCTCCTCAACAAAAACATGAAAATGCAGTGTTTCCTGAATGAAATGGTTCAAAGATAATGGATATGAGGGCCTGGGGGAACAGACTGAAGTCTATTAGGATAAAATGGATAACAATGAACTTTTACGAAGCCCTTATGATATGTGTAAAGCACATGATAAGCAAGACAAGGAACACCTACTCCACATTCTGAATCAGCTCTTCTTATGGAGGATAGAGAGGGAAAGGAGAGAAGAGAGGCACATGGTTAAGGTGGCAGTGTGGTCTTTGAATGGGAAAGACTGGAGTTTGAATCATCCTGGATAACACACAATATTTGTAGGACCCTAGACAAGTCAATTAACTTTTCTTATACATTAGTTCCTCTTCTCATCTGTAAAATGTGATTTAATTATCTTGGTACTACTTACCTTACAAGGTAGTAAGGAATATTACAAACCCAAACATGCTACATAAATGTAAGTTGTGGTGAGAAGGCTGCCTCAAACATACCACAGCGCAGTACTGAAGGCTTACACTCCATTTGTCCTCACCACCAATGTGTTAGTCAACATCACCAGACCTACGCCAAGTACTATCCCACATGACCAAGACCACTATAACAATTCAATTCATAGGGGACTTATTAAATACTATGTAGCAGGCAGAGTGCTAGGTGCTGGTGATAACAAAGACAAAAACAAAACTGTCCTTGCCCTCAAGTAGCTTGTGTTCTACTTACATACCTTCCTCATGCTATCCACTGGGCCTAGAAAAAAGAGTTCTCTTGCCTCATGCCATTCTTATTCATGTCAGCAAGCCTTGTAGTTGAGAGCCAAGTGGCACAGTGCACAAAGCACTGGCCTGCAGTGAGCAAGACCTGAATTCAA